TTAGAAGACTACTTAAAATTCCCTGGACAGATCACACAACAAATGTCGAAGTATTAAATCGAATGGGCAGAGAACGAGAATTGCTGTCAATAATAAAAAGAAGAAAAACTGCTTATCTGAGTCATATATTTCGAAATTCCAAGTAACAGTTCTTAAAGCTTATTATGGAAGGGAAAATAGAAGGAGCATCGGAAGAAAGAAATACTCATGGCTTAAAAACATAAGGGATTGGACAAAAAGGACGATGCCCATGCACTTTTTAGAGCCACAGAAGATCGAGAGGAGTATGCCAGAATTTTCGCCACCATCCACTAATTGGATAAGGCACCATAAGAAGAAGAAGAGAAATATTGTTTATTTTTTAAAAAACCTCCAGAATTAATTCTACTTAATTAATTAAGTAGGTACGAGATACCCACTTAAAAAACTGAAGGTATTCTGGTCCGTTTAAATTACCTTCGAAAAAGTAGAGTCCGATGATTATATTTCTTACAATGCCAGCCATACGTTTACCTTTTGCGAATATTGTGTACGATGTTCCCGCCTCCAGTTTGGGGTTTTCTTTTGCCCAGTATCTACAATTCTGACGGTTGACATTTAATTTGAATGTAGCCTCATCAGAAAAAATAATATTTTGAACTAAGAGAGGGTTTCGGTGGCAGTTATCCATCATTTTTTCGCAAAATTGTATTCTTTTATCTGGATCATCCTCGATTAATTCCTGTAGAAGTGTGTATCTAAAAGGGTGCCATTTTAGAGATTTATTACTTTGTGTACCGTTGTTTTGCAAACATCGAGATCACGACTAAGCTTAAGAACAGAAGTGTGCGCATCTTCTTCAAAAGCAAGTAGAACATCTAATTTACAGAGGAACGACCGGTTTTGCGTGCAGTTTCAACCGTACCAGTTTCTCGAAATTTATTTTCAATCTTACTTAATGTTGACTGCGTTATGGGTTTTTCTAGATATTTATCATTAAATAAATTACACATTTTCATCAGAGTTCGCGATTTGTCTCCATACTCAATCATCATAAGTATTTCAATTCTTTGCTTTAAACTCAAATTAATTTCTACTTCAAATTAATCCTAAGCAATAATAAAGAATAGTCACGAATTAATACTATTATTATACTACTTTTTTTCAATTGATAATAAATAATTTATTTTCTAAGCCAATATCTTTCAAATTATATCCATTAGACCCCGATATTATACTTTTTTTGAATCAGCTCATTTTTATCGATTTAAAATGTCATAAAATATAGGGTGTTACATTTAAAATGGCCGATGACGTCATCACCTTAATGTGTATCACCTTTTATAATGAAATTTTGTTGTAGAATGTAGAACATTAAACTTAAAAATCGACGTGTTTTAGATTTTTTTAAGGCCCTTTATTTAGAAAATATCGAATTTATACCATATTTTACAGACACACTGTATATATGTAGAGGGTCCTGTGTCCTGTACTATTGAGTTGAAACGTGAACGATGAATTGGGAGGCGATAAGAAGACTCAACTCGTTTGAGTTGCATACATATGATCCGATAAGTACTTAGCCTCGCCACGCGATGGCGCCACTATCTAAAGACAACTCTACTATCGTGTAATACATTCTCGAAGATGGCTAATGTCAATTTCAGCCAAATCGGACTCGTAGTTTTGTTTTAACCGCGTGTGTAAAGCGGCGTGTCCGCAGATTTTTAGAAAAATTGAAAAAGAGCAATACCGGTCGGAGCAATTTCAGTCAGTGATTCGATTCTTGTTTTTGGAAAGGAAATCGCACAGCGAAATCAAAGAGCACTTGGATGCTCTGAACGGTGACTATTCTTCGATGGCAACCGTCAAAAAACTGGTTTAACTAGTTTCAACTTGGTCGCACGTCGGTTTTTGATAAACCATGTCTTGGTGCCCTGAAAATGGCTACCACGAACGACAGCGTGACAAAAATCCAAGATCTCGTATTGGCAAACCACCAACTGAAGTAGTAAGCATCTCAAAAGACCGCGTATATCATATACTGCATGAAATTTTGGGCATGAGAAACGACGTGCCGCGTGTGCTCACTTCGGACAACAAACGCAACTGTGAGACCAATTCAGAGCAGTGTTTGACGATATTTAAGCGAAATCCGAAGGAGATTCTACGTCGTTTTCGTAACCATCGACGAAACATGAATCCACTGGTACAAACCAGAGACCAGAGAACAGTCGAAACAGTGGACGGCAACTGGCGAACGTGCTCCGAAGAAGGCGAAGACTGTCCTATAGACCGGAAAGATAATGGTCAACCTTGTCTGAGAATCACAAGGGGTGATCTACATCGACTACCTGGAGAAGGACAAAACGGCCACAGGACTCTGCAAAGGACCACGCCGAAGTATTTGGCAGATTGGACGGAGGTTATCGCCCCCACGGAAGCCTACTTTACAGACCTCGAGAAAATATTTTTCGTATGTTTCAGAAGGGTTAAAGAGATTGGAGCATTGCTGCGTCAAGTGTATCCGGGTAAAATCAGACTATGTTGAGAAATAAACCGCCACTTTTTCAAAATTTTCGATTTTCTTTTGTAGGCTAAGTACTTATCGGACCGCCCGAAGGACATATGGAAGGATTTTGAAGATCCGATAGGTGGATTACATTCCGAATGAAGTATAATTATGTATTAAGAAGAATGAATTGAACTTCTTGACTTTCTTCAGTCTTCTTAATACGGATATCTCGAACATATAAAGGCTAAAAAATATGGCATCTTTCGGTTCATAATACGAGGCGAAATAGAAGGCGAACGGAATGTGGAAAGGAGATAAATATCTTTGTTGAAAACTCTAAGAGAATGGTATAGTTGCAGTTGAAAACAACTCTTTAGAGCACTTGCTTTGAATGTCAGAGTAGACTTGATTTATTATGTCATGATGATTTCCAATCTCCCATAACGGAGAAGGCACTTGAAGAAGAAGAATAGGAGTCATGTGTAGGTGAATTGTTGCTTGATCCACAAGTATCCACTTTTTTTCTAGGGCCGATAATTATAGATACATTCATAAATATAATACATGTTAAAATTTTCCCAGGAAGTTGTGTTACCAATGAAACGGCTCTAATAAGCGTTACGAAACATGTTGTATTGTTTAGAAAATAAATATTTTGATAATAAAAATATATCTTTTACATATGACACTAAAATATGTTTATAAATTTCCTATTTAATGAGACCAATAGGGATAGATTATGTGCAAACTTATAATCGAAGTGAAATAATATAGCTGATAAAATACCAAGCACCTACTTAATTATAACTTACCTGGATTTCAAGAAGCAATTCTGTTTTTCTTCTTCTAATCTCTATTAAAATTCTTTGTTGTTCAGGAGTCAGATCTGTAAGAGAAAAATTATGTTACCATACAATATTTATACAATAAATCTGACTAAAACAAAAATACCCAACAGAATACGTAGATACGTTGAACTTGAAAGTAAAGTAATTATGCTTTTGTAAATTTTGAATCTGGAATAATGCCAAAGGTCATAGTATGAATAAAAATTATGATATTCGGTTACAAAGTAAAAATAAATGAACATAAAATATGATTTAATTTTAAAACCAATGCAAGTAAAAAGCAATATAAACCTTAACCATGAAAACTCATGGATAGTATCATAATGACTTATGACTTTCCATGTAGTGCATTGACAAAACACAAAGCAGTGCAAAATATCCTCGATGACATTAGAAGTGTTACACCCAGAAGGAATAATTTGTTGAACTTAATCACTATATTTAAAACATGCTATGATCCAATGAGCTTTTCTATTTTTTGTAAAAATAGAAAAGAAAGTTTTTTAGAAATAAAAGTTTTATCTTTAATTTTTTGTGAAGAGATCGATTTGTGAAAACCGGTTCGTATATAAATTGTTAGTTATTATTCCTTAGTCTAATTGTATTCAGTGTAAGAAAATGCCTCGGGTTCGAAGACACCAAAATTACCACCATATTAGCGATTTTGACAGGGGTAGAATTATTGCGTATAGAGATATGGGCAATGACGGTTATGCGTGTCGGAAGGTAGATGAACACGAATAAGACCAACTGGTCAACCGAGTCGTACCCCAGAGCGTCAAGATAGGCGCTTTATGGTGGCCCATACACGATAGGGTTTGCATGATGGTTTTAACTTTGCATGCATAACCAAACAGGCAAGCCCTAGCGTGTATGTGATAAAACTGTACAGTTGTACATGCAACCGAGCAAATGTGAAAATTCATATTTCATGCCGCTCGGTTTTGCTTGCTTGCGAGCGTACGTGTGTGGCGTCCGGCGAGCTTGCCTGCCATAGTTCTTATAGCATCACATGTTTCAGGTATTATTCGGCCCAAAGCCTGAGGTAATATAATAGCAGAATATTTGAGACACGCGTATGTTCTTCCTGTTGCAAGAAATCTTAATGTTACTACTAGTCTCTCATATGCTGATATTGCTTTCCACGTAACAGTATCTCGTCTTTGTATTAACGGAGTAATCAATGATAATAGTTTCAAATAAAGTTTTTCATCCATTCGTAAATAATTTTTGTAATCTGTTGGTTTAAATCTCAATTCATTTAACAAATTTACGTGGGAAAAATGATTTATTTTTAATAACCAGCCTTTAGACCATTCAGTGCGATCTCTTTTTTTTTCTTTTCTGAAAAATAAGTGTTAAGCCAAGTACAGCTATCACATCGTTGTCGTCCATTGTAGTGGTAGGTATATACCGCACAAAGTACCGTAGGCATCCTGCACACACCGTCACGTAGCTTAAGAGAAGAGTTATAGAGAACATAAGGTTAAAACCATCATCCAAACCCTAACGTGTATGGCCTCCATTAGATTGCTGGCTCTGCAAGACCGTTTTGCTACTACGCGTCAAATTGCTGACCAATGGTTTGGAGTAGTAGGTAGACCTGTTAGTATGCGTACCCTATACCGTCGCATTCGAGAATTTGGACTGATTTCATTCCGCCCACGACTAGTGCTTCCTTTAACTGCGGACCACTGTCATCGTTTCAATTAATGCAGAAAATGGTGGCATTGGGTGGCAGAATGACGTAATGTAGCATTCAGCGATGACTCACGAAGCTGTTTAGGAACGCATCTTCCGTCTTGGAGAGCGACGAGATATCCGGTTTGCTGTTGAGAGGCAGTAACACAGGACAGTTGGAGTAATGGTTTGGGGGGCTATTGCCTACACGGTAGTCGAACACGCTGCGCGTTACGTTGATGACATCGTACAAACCACCACACTGTCTTATCTCGACAACTGTCGAGAGGTTCTGTGGCCGCTCCGTGCTCCGGATTTAAACCCTATCGAACATGTATGGGATGTAATGGGAAGGAGACTGTCCACTTTGCACCATCCTCCACAGACTCTGGCACAGTTAATACATGAAGTTCAAGTTACTTGGAATGAGGTGCCACGAGCAGATATCAATCATCTCATTTTGTCAATGCCTAGAAGTAATACTGTAGTGGATTCAGTTACGGGGTCGCCAAACACATTATTATTTTTTTTTATTTATTGTTAATAAAAATTGTTGACAACGTTATCGTTTCATTCTTGATATAAATCTACCATGTTGCCAAAAAATTAGGTTCAAGAAATTATTCGTTCTGGGTGTAACACTTTTAATGTTATTGAGTATATAAATTTGTAGACTTGTTTTATTATAAAATAAAAAAAAAAGTAGGAATATTTGTACTCTCCACTTTAAGAAAATTCCTGTTGTTATTAATTTGCTACGACTGTATATTTCTTTTTTTGCTTCTTCTTTAATCAGTAATCGCCACCCATTACGCATCAGCCTATTTTTCATTTTACTTGTATTTATATATATATATATATATATATATATATATATATATATATATATATATATATATATATATATATATATATATATATATATTATTAGGTTACATAAAAGTGTTTTTGCACTTCTTTTTGAAATTGCCTTCCTTCCAGTTCAGTATGTCCCAAGTTACCCATACTTAGAAGGGTAACTAAATTTTCCTTATTTAGTAAATAGCATGTCTCTAAGCAAGCCTAGCAAGTCTCCCACGCATTTCCATATCATTTCGGAACTGATCACATGCGATTTCAGTACCTTGATGGCTGCTTGACTACCGGTCATTATGGCAATCTCTTCTCCTAGATATTTTTTTTTCAAAGTTAACTAGGCATTATTCAATAGTGCCAGTTTCCACTTGAAATCTTTGCACCACCATCTACTTTTGCAACTATGTAACCTCGGAAACCTTTTTTGGATGGTGCTAGAAAGATCACCAATGGAGACACTGCGGACGGCAGCCAGATGGTTGGTGGAGAGCGAGTCGTGGGTTCGAAACTAGCTTTTGGAACCGAGAATGGGTCGAACGTAAGAAATAAGTAAAGATAGGATAAGAGCTATTAGAAAAGATACAGAAATAAACAAAAAGATAGATGCGTAAAATTACCAAAGATACGATAATATAGAAACAGGGGCGCCACTCAATTTTTTGGGATTAAGGAGAAAATTAAGAAAACTTAGAAAAGAAAAGAGATAAAGAAAGATATTTAGGTTCAGAGATCAGACCCAAGGGAAGATACCAACAGTTATTTATCAAATAAATTTGGTCAACACAATATATAAACAAATAATAAATATATTACTTACCTACGAAACTTAATCAGCCAGATCTTTCTACTGGTCAAAAGTATAGTAATATTTAAAGATAAAAAGCAAATATTCAGAGTTACTATTTTATCAGGGAACTTGTCAGGAGCCGACAAATAAAATACATACATAAAACAATAACAATATATTCAACAACAAAATTATGACGCTGCTGAATGCAACACAAGTAATAAAAATACACCAACGACTATAAAATGGTAGTATACATAAAAATAAGCAGTAATGTAATTAGCAAATACCTTTACAAAGATATATAAGACAATCATTTACAAATAAAGTGTTATGGGGTACCTCGAGATATTACAGTAAAAAAAATGATAAAAATTATAACAAACACAAAAGATAACAAAAATTAATTAAATCTAAATTTACAAAAATACAAAAAGGTTACAGAAATTAAAAAAAAACATAAAAATTTAACCAAACCGCACTTGGCTAAGTGGATTAACTATCTCGCACTATTATTTAATGATAAACTGAGAGTAATGTTCATAATTATTATTTATTGAAATTTCTTGAATTTATTGAAATGTTCTTTAAATTGAATACAAAAATCACCAATCTAAAGGTGAAGACATGGAGGAACTTTAGATACGTCCAGATAATGGAGGATGATATGTTACCATACCATATTACTCGCCCAGATAATTTGAAGATAATGATTACAGTAAATCTTGACGACTGGTTCAGTAGGTACTTCACTGAAGTTATATACTGTACTTAATACTTTACATGTATCAAACACTGAATTTAATTACCATTAAAGGTACTTTAAAACTATATATAATTTAATATAGTATAAGAAAAGAAAACTTAAATATAAAGTGTATACACACTTAGAAAACAATTCACAGACGGTAAGATAACAGATACGATGTGAGCGAAGCGTCTCACGAGAAATCAACCTTTCTCCGCAACGGCCCACCGATAAGTGAATCTTTCTTTGCCAAAATTTACCAAACTCACAAAAAAAAAGAAATCTCCCACTCAAGATCATAGGCCAGTTGTATGTAGTTCTGAGAAGGTAAAGATATTCTAATGGACATCGAAAAGTTTGAGGTATTTACGGTACCAACAATTGTACCTGAAAAACATACAATCCTTTGGATTATGTTATTGTCAAAAGATTACTCTAGGTACGTGCCTTCGACGAAAATTACCAATTTATGAAAAAGAACCCGCATACCGAAAAGCATTAGTTCCTTTCATACTCAGGATTAAGACAGAAAGAATTAACAACCTTACTTAATTAGGGAATTCCATGATAGTTTGGTAGGTCCAATAATATTTTCTTATCGTAAACACGATCATAGGCGTATCATCACGGGGGTAAAAGGAATTACAAATAATTTAATATATTAATAATAAAAAAAATGTTACAACTGAACTAGTAGTAAATTAATTCACAACGTTATACTTCTTTTGCATGTCATCTTGTCTGCAATACACATAGACATGAAACACTGAGTTCCTGTGTGTCTGTAATTTTATATATCTAATAAAAACATTTATTTCAGGTAAACACTGGAGTACTAAATGTAAAAATCTCAACAATAACTATAATAAGAAACTACTTGTAGCGATTCTCAATCGTCAACGACAAATGAAGTAAAATGAGAAGTGAATGATAGTGAGAACATGCTGGAATACATAAAAATCA